AGAGAGAGAGAGAGAGAGAGAGAGAGAGAGAGAGAGAGAGAGAGAGAGAGAGAGAGAGAGAGAGGCAGGCACGATGGCTGGGGACTTGTCGGGATTTTTTTCGGCGATGGGCATCAATCTTGGGTTGGCGGTGGGTTTTCTTGCGCTGTATTCTTTCTTGGCTTTGCAGCCGGTCAACAAGCCAGTTTATTTCCCCCGTCGATATGTGGAGGAAAACGACCGCCGATCGAAAAAGATTGTGAAGAGCAGCAAGATCAATTTAAAGGAGATAGTGAGCGGTCTGGATCCGACTAAGTTCCTCTCTGCCGGTGACTGGGTGAAAAAGGTCCTGACCATGACCGAGGACGAGGTCATAAGCTTGGCCGGCCTGGACTCCGCCATCTTCCTCCGCGTGTTCACCTTCGGCCTCAAGCTTTTCATTCCAATTTGTGTCTTTGGCATCTTCGTCCTTATTCCCGTAAATGTCACCGACAAATCGTATCGTGCTGTTGACCTGAAATATCTTGACACGTTGAGCATGGCCAATGTGTCTAAGCGCTCTGACAGGTTAGTTGCGCATATGTTCTTCGCCTGGATCTTCTCTCTGTGGACCTATTACAGGTTATATAAGGAGTACAGCGAGGTAACTGAGCTGCGGTTCAAAGCCATAGCCAGCTCCAAACGTGCCCCGGACCAGTTCACAGTCCTGGTGAGACAGGTACCGGAGAGCCCCAGCGAAAACGTCAGCGTTCACGTCGAACACTTCTTCCGTGTCAATCATCCCAACACGTATTTGTCGCACAATGTGGTGTACGCCACAAGGAACCTGGACAGCATGGTCGCGAATCGACAAAAACTTACAGACGACTTGTCGTTTGCCGAGCTGAGGTACGAGAAGAAACCGACGCGTCGTCCCACTCGCAAGATCGGCTTCCTCTGCTGGGGCAAACGGGTCGACACCATAGACTGGTGCCGAGAGGAACTGAAGAAGCTGAACGGCGAGATTGCCGAGGAGCTGAAGCACATCACGACCAACGAGAGCTTCATCATGCCGGCCGCCTTCGTGTCTTTCAGATCCCGATATGGTGCTGCCATAGCTGCTCAGACTCAGCAGTCCAAGAACCCTCTTGTCTGGTTGACCGAGTGGGCCCCCGAGCCTCGAGATGTCTACTGGCCCAATCTCTCCATCGACTACATGCAGCTCACCGGCCGCATTTGGGTCATGAGGGTCCTCCTCTTTGGCCTTGTCTTTTTCTACCTTATCCCCATCGGTTTCGTCCAATCATTAGCCAATCTTGAAAGCTTGAACGAGAAGGTTCCCTTCTTCCGACATATCACCAACCTCCCTGTGGTTAACCAGGTCTTGACGGACTTTCTCCCAGGTTTGGCGTTGAAAATCTTTCTTGCCATCCTGCCCTCCCTGTTGATGGCCATGTCGACGTTCCAGGGGTACGTGTCGAACAGCGGAATCCAGAGATCGGCAGCGGAGATGTACTATTACTTTATGATTGTCAATGTGTTCTTTGGGTCCATATTCGCGGGGTCAGCCCTGAACCTTGTCAACAGGTTCAAGGATCTAGTGGCGAACCCAGGGGATATCCCAATGACTTTCGGGCGGGAAATCCCATCAAGGGCCCCCTTCTTTATCACCTATATCATGATTGAAGGATGGGCCGGGTTCCCGTCCGAAGCCCTTCGTGTCTCCACCCTTGTCGTCTTTCACATCAAGGCCTTGTTGCTGTTCAAGTCAGAAAAGGACAAACTTGATGCCACCAAACTAGACGCTGTGGACTACCATGTTGAGATCCCCCGGCTTATGCTCTTCTTCTTGCTTGGACTGGTCTACAGCATCACCTCCCCGTTGCTCATCCCCTTCTTGCTGACCTATTTCGCTCTAGGGTACGTCGTCTTCAAGAACCAGATTATCAATGTCTATGAGTCCGCTTATGAAAGTCACGGTTCTCTCTGGCCGTACGTGCATGGTCGCGTCGTCACCGCTCTTGTCGTCATGCAAATTATGCTCATTGGTGTCTTCATGCTGAAGGAGAAGTTCAAACTCGTTCCTTTGCTCATTCCTCTCCCCATACTGACCGTCTTCTTCACAACGTACTGCACGAAACGCTTCTATCCGGCATTCCAAAAGTACTCTATGCAAGAGGCCATGAGCAAAGATACCGTAGATTCGGTCCGCAACCGGGGACAGGATGTGAGGAGTTTCCTTACGGATGCATACCTGCATCCCATGCTGCGGGCGGCCAAGGAAGACTTCGAGGATATAGACGTGGAGGACGAGGAGAGTAGTAGAATGCAGCGCCAGCCGGGTTCCCCGGAATTAGTAGCTTGTAAGTATTATCCCAAGGGGACCTTCACCCCCAGGACGGGGAGCAAAGCCGGCGACACAGACACGCGCAGCGACCATGGCAAAAACAGCGGAAGCCTCAGAACTGGGAAGTTTAGTGCAAATGGTGGTGGTCCTGCTGCTGCAAGTGGACTAATGACTCCAAAAGGGAGTGGAATTGGAGGTGTAGGTCCGGATGGGATTAAGGCCCCGAGGGTGGGTGGTTTGACAGGGGCAGGTGGGGCAACCGTCAGTCCCCGTAGTGCAGCTTGGAGCCCCGTGATCGGTAATCGGGGTGCGGTTGGCCCAGGTCCCGAGGGGCCCTATTTGAATAACAACTACCGCACGTAGTGCTCGAACCTGACACTGATTTGATTTGTTGATCCTTTCGGGCGTGGACGGACAAACAGGGGCATGGAGTTTCTGCACAATTTGTGCAGCACATGCCGGCTCATCTCTCCACGCTCGAGAAACATGCTAGCAGGCCACCCACCTTATGCACCTAATGCCTGCCTGCCTGCCTGCCTTCCTCTCTTCACTGAACTGATCATGCTCTTGGCTGGTGGATTAAGCTTGTGTAGTGGGTGGTTGTGATCAATGCTAGAAACTAATACCCCACAACACTGGAAAGTAACCTCTGACACTACAAATGAAATGCACTGGACTTGTGATCTCTTCTTCTTCTAAAATACCTAAACTACAGCTACTGTGCTACTTCACCACAAGGAACTTTTCCTCGGACTGTACAGTACTGTACTGCATTGGGGGGAGTTTTAGACACGAATGGACAACACGTTGGAAGAAGGGTCTCTGCCACCAAACATCAGAGGCAGATGGGGACTGTTTTGAATGTCCTGTGTGCAGTGCCAAGGGAAAGCGGGCGAGGCGCTGTTGCCTCCTCCCATGTGTCCCTTGAAGGGAGGTCCGGGGACAGTTAACACAATCTTTATCTGACTCTATTATTGTGTGTGTGTGTGTGTGTGTGTGTGTGTGTGTGAGAGAGAGAGAGAGAGAGAGAGAGAGAGAGAGAGAGAGAGAGAGAGAGAGAGAGAGAGNGAGAGAGAGAGAGAGAGAGAGAGAGAGAGAGAGAGAGAGAGAGAGAGAGAGAGAGGGGAAGAAGATCTGGTTGGGGAAGTGAGGGAGGGAAGTCGCTCGATGTGCTGTGCTTGGACAGTATTCTTGCCTGAGGGAGGAAAGCTGTGGTGGGTGCTCCTCTTGGATAGTATTCCTGCCTGGTGATTGGCAGGTAGAAGATGGCCATGGTGATTGGCCAGTTTTGGTGTTTGTTCTGCCAGTTTTTTCTCCTCTCTGTGACTGGGGTGGGCTTATACCCCCCAACCCTCAGTGGCAAATATGTCACAAAAGACTCGCAATCATTTCCATTTCCCCCCTAGGGTTAGGGTTAGGTTAGGGACGGGTGGTGTTCAGAGGAGAGGGATGGAATTGCTGGCAAGGGAAAGGAAAGGGAAGGGAAGGAAAGGAAATGAAAGGGAAAGGGAGTATAGGAATGGGACAGATGTAAGTCAGGTCCTGCACGTTGCCAAGGAAGGCTATCTTTTTTGTGTGAAATAGCTGTCTTAATTGTACATAAATTCTTGTGTTACATGGGGTTCCTATGGTATTTTATGGGGTTGGGATTTAGTCAATTAGTTAGGTAGGTAGTTAGGGATGTAAATGGGTAGAGTGAGATGGAAACAAGAGAGGCAGGGAGAAAAAGGGGATTTACGTGGATGTCGGATGGATCCGATGGCTGGACACACGGAGGGAGGAAAGGAAGGAAGGATTAAGGCAAGGAAGAATGCAGTGACGGAGGGAGGAAGTGGAGTGTCGGGATGCAAGAAATTGCGAGGAATGTGTAGTTTTGGTTGGTCATTGAATCGCCGTTGTGATGGCATAGAGGGCCTTGAGATCATGGTGAAGTCAAGCAAGTTCTGTCTTGGGCACGGTGGTTCAGTATACGAGAAGCCCAAGAGTGACCTAGGGTGGAGATTAACAGGGAGGAGGAATAGAAGCAAGACAAGATGGAAGGAAGAGAAGGTAGGGGGAAGCAGAAGCAGAGAAACTGAACTCGGGTGGCAAAACGATGACCGAACGGAGGGATAGTGGTCAGCGGAGTGCATGAGCGGAGCAAGGGAATTAGGCCGCAGAATGAAGAAGATCTGGAAGCCTAAGGACCAGCGTAAGGAACACGAAGAACAGACAGAGAAGGACCTGGTGTGGCGAGCCCGAGGGCGTGGAATGGGAGAGAAGAGGTGGTGGAAGAAGGACTAACTGAGGTACACACTCTGCGTCTCATCATGCATGCTAAGTGCTTGCCCTTGTTCTATCACAGGACAAGGTGGTGGATGGGCAGACTAGAAGGTATTCGCCAAGTTACCGTCGTCGACATGAGGGGGGGTCTGCGATACTTTTGTTTCTTCAACTGTGTAGTGCATGTTATTGCTAGGTTCCGCGCATCGTGAAGCCAAGGGTGATCATGTCCATTGCTTGTAGATGATACCTCCCATTGTACCCTGCTTTACTGAATGCTGCGCCCAATCGTCCACCGCCTTTGCCGTGGTACTTCCAATGGACCAATGGTGCATTTCCTGTTCCATGGTACATGTGATGATGGTCCATCCAACGATGCATTCTGCAAGGCGTCATTGCCTGTAGGATCTTTGCATCTAATGCCCTGTCTGACATTACACCTGTGGGTCTGCCTATTGGCTGGTTCAACTAATGGTCCATGTGATGGTACACCCGAGAGTCGATTCGCTTGAAGATGGTGCATTGAAAGGTTTGTTCCACGGATTGTCGATACCAGGGTCCAGCGGATGCAGAGTCGCATTGGCACGTAGCTCGGCGGTTCGTTTCCCTGCTGTCTCTGTCCATCGTGTTCTGTGCCCTGACAGAATTGCACTCTCTGGTATGTTGAGATTTGTGTCTGATTTTTGCATGCCATTTCATTACCTTGTGTGTTAGCACTTGCAATGGTAAAACCATGGTTTGGCGGCGGGTTAACTCAGGGGTTAACTCACTCTGACTCTGAACTACTTGAGCATCAGGGGTTAACTCATTCTGACTGTGAGGTGAGCCATTGGGTGTTAACTTACGGTGACTTTGAGGTTCGCATAACTGACGAAGTTTCATTTCAAGCGAGGCTGGGAACAGGAGTCCAGCAAGTTATCGAGTGTCGGGCGTTCTTGGCCTTGGGGTTCAAACTGGGTCCTGGTTGGGAGGGGTTTAATTGGGGTTTAATGTGAACGACTAACCTTTGGCAGTTGAGTTCACACGGCTGCCTCGGCACTTGGCAATGGAGCCGAGGGATTCAGTTTTGATCAGTCGCTCGTTTGTGATATATATGCTATGCATATATTCACGTCTCTATGGCCGCCGAGTTGAGTGTGTGGTCCCCAAGGATATGAACAGACATGATTCAACCCCTTTTTAAGTTTTTACAGTCAAATAGGGGAATCATGGCCGATGTTATTGACATTTTGTTGGCGTTGTTGTTGTTGTAATATAAAAGATCGTTGCGCGTTTATGCAAGTAATATTTATTTATCCTCCACAAACCCATATTAGGGGTTTGTAGGCCTCGGTAAGGACATATTCTTTTTTTTTTTCTTTTTTTTTTTTTTTTTTTTTTTTTTGTACGGCAATGTCTGTCAGTTTTTCACCATGTCCTTTTTTTTTTTTTTTTTTTTTTTTTTTTTTTTGGGTCAATGCTCCAGTCTATTGGTGGGGAGCAGCACATGTCGGGAACCGGGCCCAGCGTCCCATTCAAGAAGGTATTAAGAAACATATACAGAACAATTTGAGGTCCCATTCGAGAACATATTAACAAACATATACAGAAAATTTTGAGGTCCCATTCGAGAACATATTAAGAAACATGTAGAGAACAATTTGCGATACCGGGCCCATTACGCGGCTTCGGCTAGGAATGATAGCTATGCACTTCAAACAGCCAGAGGCTGTGAAGAGTCTGCAAATCATCTGAAGAAAGCTTGGATTCTATGAGCCTATTCTATTGAGATTGCAGAGCCTATTCCACAACCTACTTATCAAATAGACTAAACTAAGTAAACTTCAGAAAAGCTATGAGAAAAAAAACCCAACCTTTGATCCATGGGAGCTTTTGAACTGCAAACAACCTAACTTGGTGCCTTTCAGCAGCCCAACCTTAAACCTGCCTCAACCCTTGTATCCCAATACCCAATCTCTACCAGGCCTCACACCCCCAACTGCTAGGTTACAGAGTGGCACGACCCACCCCAGAACAATCCCCCACCTGCTAGGGTACAGGCTGAAGCGACCCGGCCCGGCTCCGGCCAGCGTAGACTGAGTACCAGCTCACCAATAGACACTAGAGTGCCTTCCTCCCTCGACAACTCCCCAGATCTCTCTACCAGGTCTCATGCCCCGTACAGCTTTGAGTTACANTTTTTTGTGTACGTCAATGTCTGTCAGTTTTTCACCATGTCCTTTTTTTTTTTTTTTTTTTTTTTCTTTTTTTTGGGTGCTCACAGGACCCACCCCGTTCCTACCTCAACATTCTTCTTCCTTAGCATAACCCCTGCTTCTCCATCTACGGGGGCCACTGTTCACCCTTACCTCCGGTATACCGGATAGCAATAGCAGGCCCCAGCGCTAGGCCAGGACAACCCCTCCCAGCCCTAGTTGAAGCACTATTGGACGAGCCTTGTCGTACGAGCAGTTCGGTCACCAAGCATGAGCGTCCTACACACTTTCCTTATGAGCACCAGCCCTGGGTTGGTCAGACAGCGAACATTCCACGGATCTACCCTGGGCAGTGTCTACTGGTCCTACCCTGACCAAGGTCTTACCTCAGGCAGCCCCCGACCCAACCCGAGCGACGTGTTCCTAGCACAGCCTATTGTTGCCTTGTATTAGGGGGTTTTGTGTTGTTGTCGCCATTGATAATTAGTTATCCAGTTCATATTGAGGGGGCAAGGTTATGGCTGTGTGTCCGAAATTGGACTCAAAGCGGGTTTCGTGTTGAATGATTCAACGGACGTTGAATTCCGTTGATTTAACGTTTAAACTTTAAATGCTGAAATAACGGGTTTCGCAGGGACCCGCGATGATTTTTTTCCCGGGCTAAACATTATCAAAAAAATAAAATAAAAAATGGGGCTGCAGATGTTTTTGAGGTCTATAACCTCATATTTTTACTTTTATTTTTTGAGCTTTGACTTTATTTATTAAAAAAAAGCAAAACATAAACACAATGAAGAAAAACAAAAACAAAAGATGAAACGAGTTTTCTTTCTTTTTTGGCTACACAGAGATTTTTTTAGGGCTAAAAAAAAGCAGAAAAACAAATTAAAAATATAGGATTATAGACATTTCAAAGATGTACAACAACATTTATTTTTATTTTTTAACTTCATGTATTTAAAAAAAAAAAAAACATAAAAAACAAGTAAAAAAAAGGAAAAACAGACTTGCACACACACACAGAGACACAGACACAACACACACAAACACATATAAACACACACACACATGCACACACATGCACACACGCCAACAATCATGTGCACGCACACACATACACAAACACCTGTGCATACATACATATTCATGCACAGACACACTCTCACACACAGGCACACACATACACACATACGCGCACACACAGCACACACAGCACACCTGCACACACATAACTGGGGCCTTGAGGGTTGGGGGATGTGGGGGCGGATGGATTAGAGGGCTTCCAGGCAGGTTTGGGGACTGGTGCCGGGGGTTTCGTCAGTGGTGGGTGGCAGGCCGGTCGGTGTTGGTCTAATTCGGTGATATTAGAGGTGCTTCAGGGGTTGGGGAAATGCTTTTTTTTCTTTAAGGGGGGGGGTTGAGTGCGCAGGTGCCTAGCGCACGTGTTCCGGACCTCGTGCATCAATTCCGTTTTTCCGAAAAGCGCGGGAGCGGCTCATTTTCGCGTTTAACGGGAATTCGACGGGATTTTCTCAGTTTCAACGGGATTCAACGGGAGTTTAATTCCCCCGTTCTCCGTTAAAAAGACACACAGGTTAAGGGTCCGTAACTGTCGCACCAGTTCGCCACAGGGCCGATTCCGCCCAGGGAAAACCTCCGGCACATCCCCCCTTGCACCTCAGTTGCCTGTCAGTTGTAGATTGTGTTTTAGTGTGGGGCCATTTTCCACCCCTGCTAGTGTCATATCGAGGGGGCAGGGTTATCGGTCCGTAAACGTCGCACCAGTTCGCCTCAGGGCTGATTCCTGCCAGGGAAAACCTCCGGCCCATCCCCCCCGGGCCCCTGCACCCCCCCCAGTCGGTTATACTTCCGAGGTTCAACCCTCGAAATGCCCTGTGCGGCGCGCGCCAAAAAACATGTATTGGCGCAACTGCCTTTTGGCTGGCGCCGCCAGCCATTTTGCTTTGGAGGCCCCGACAGTTGTGGCACGTGCTCAAAAAAGGCCCCACGGTCACTGGGCAAACCATGGAAAATAAGCTGCATCACAAAAGAAAAAGAAAAGGGAAAAAAATTGCAAATAAACAAGGTCAGCAGCAAGAGGACATTGTTTCTACAATGCTAGAAGCTGGTTCAGGCCAGCAGCCACCGTCAGGGGAAGCAACAGAAAAGGGAGCAAATGGTCCACGATAATTTTTGGAAGAGGAACCCGCGCCTACAGATGAACAACTGATGAAACATCAGTGCGCGTGATCTGCAGCAGCAGGGTCAGATCCCTTCCAAGAAGCTTTGTTTGTTTGTTTGTTTTGCTTTTTGTTTGTTTGTTTGTTTGTTTGTTTGTTTGTTTGTTTGTTTTTTGTTCTCCACGAAGCTTTTGGTCCAGCAGCACCAGTGGAAGTTGATGGTTTTTTTTTTTTTTTTTTTTTTTTTTGGTCCAGCAGCATCAGTGGAAGTTGAATCCCTTTCTCCGCCAACAAATTTTGATATGGAAGATGCAGCGGCCTGCTCGAATTCTGAGATTTTGGAAGAACAAAAAGTGATACAGCTGGCAGAATGGCTGCTGAAAAATCTGTAAACCAAGTTTGGGAAAGCCTCGGTTGAGTTTTGGGATGTGTCATAGACTGAGCTCATTACTTTTACTTAATAGCAGTCCCAGCTTAAAGACGGTTTCGCAGAATGGGTTGCCTACATGGGCACAATGCGCTATTGTGAGTCGACGCATATTAAATATTGTCTTAATTTTTAAGCATGTCTTCTCCTCCCTTGAATGAGGAGGTTTGCTTCTGCTTCTGAGGGTTGCAGCGCTAGTACAGTGGTAGCATTGCCTGCATTAAAGGTAGAGGGACAGGGTACACAGCAAATTGGTAGTCTGTCATCCCTGACCCAGAAACCGGAAGAAGGGGAGGTCGCAGAGGTTGCAGAGATTGTGATCATCGAAGAAAAAGTCTGAAAAAGTATTACTACCGTCTTCACCCGAATAGAACGCCCGGTCATTATCGCTGTATTTACACTGGAAGTTGGCCCAGATACAGCTATAATGACCGGGCGTTCTATTCGGGTGAAGACGGTAGTAATAAAAGAAACCAGTTCTGAATTTCAGAAATGATATATGCTATGTCTGGCTCCTCCTTAAACGGGGCAAGTACATGGCCCCAGCCTTGCAGAAAGTTTTTTGTCACCACAAGCAAAACTCAGAGGAGCCACGCGGCGTGGGGCGCCGTTGAAAGAAAAAGTTGGCGGCCTCCGAAGTGGTGCGCGTTTCGTGCTGACACTCGCAGGCCCATGTGTGGTGTACTGGTGCTTTAAGGGGTGAGGGGGGGGGAGAGGGAGTAGGGGTGAGACATAGCAGCGTCCATTTCTGAAATTCAGAAATGGCTTGGCAGTGGCTACTGGAGTTGTATGTGGCCGGAGGTGCAGTGGATCAAGATTCCAACGACTCACCTTTCTGGGCAGGAAGTCTCGCTCATTTTTCTCTCTTCCTCAATGCACGTCGGATAGACAGCACATACGAGGTCACAAACATGCCTCGTGCACGATGGATCGTTGGCGTTTGTTTGATAACCCTGAGAGCCCGACGACATTGACTATACAGCTGGGCGGTAGATTTGTGTCTGTGTCTGTGTATGTGTGTCTGTGCATGTCTGTGCATGTCTGTGTGTCCGTGTCTGTGTATGTGGTGTGTGTCTGTGTATGTGTATATGTGTACGTATGTCTGTGTATGTGTATCTGTGTGTGTGTGTATGTGGTAGATTTGTGTCTGTGTATGTGTGTTCGTGTATGTGTGTCTGGGCGGTCTGTGGACAACGGAATGTCCTTTACGAAGTAAACCTCTGAATGCCGCCGACTACAACATATTCGGGTTGGGCTTTGCAATGATGATGCGTAAACTGGGCTGCATAGCCCTTTCTTTACCCCTTCAGCAAATTGAATGATTTCCTTGCTAGCACTCTTTTCTCTTTGTTTTTTGTTCTTTTC